AATTATGTTGGCAAATTATCTCGACGATTATTATTGCCTTAGCTGTGCAACGCGATTTTTCTCCAGCGTCCGTTTATTTACACTTAAGTATTATACACTTGTAAAGCCATATATATATATATATAGATTTATAATTGAACACAATTCTGAATTTGAATGTCAAATTAAATTGGTGTATATATACTTACAATATACACATAGTGTTACATAATGCATATTATGATTTTTTAAGTAGCACGTCTTAATTATATTATATTTAAATTCGATATTTTTTTCCAAAAATGTTTTTATCGTCGTAACCGGTCGGGCGCACGTTCGCTGCCAAACGTCGTTTTTATTATAAGACAACTACGAGACGTAGACGACGATCGATGGTTAAATGGCCGGTAGACCGATGTGTTAAAAATATGTTAAAAGATTATACGGCGACGATTTAATACGCGATATAATAATATATGGGTACTAAGTACTGTGAATCGGATGCGCTGCACTAAGCACTTGGACGCGGATAAAAATTAGAAATATAATGATACAGTCGATTCACTCAACGGAAGTTCACAGGCTAGGAAAAAGATCGACTTACTAAAAATGTCAATTCATCAAAAATCATAAAAAATTATATTATTTATAGTATAATGTATATTTAAATAGTTTACAATGTTCACATGCTATTTTACTTGAAGAATTATTGTAAGTTTAGGTCATTATTTTTGTTTATTTAATACATTCGTAACAGTTATATTCTGTTAACGACCGAGTGGCTTCATCCATGCCTTCATCGTTTTTAAGTTTAAATAAATTTACATAATGATGTTTCCAAAGCAAGTTTCGCTTTTTATTTACTCAGGTTGCATTTGTGGGTCTTTGTCGACGTGTTCAATATCGTTCGAATTCTACTGTAAGTGGCAAGGAAGATTTTACGAATCAAATATGTGAATAAATCAAGTCGTAAGCGACAAACGATCGTGGTGATAAGATAATTTGAGTTATTGAAAACTCGTCCAATTAATATTCGAGTTGACAAGATTATTTGAACATCAGGACGTTTATATAGCAATTTGAAAGGGAATTTTACTCGTTTGATATATCAAGAATTTCGAGTGTCAAGGTTCGAGTTACCGAGAGTACTACACCGATGATACCGCTTACACGCTAAAAATAGGTATAATAAGTGACCCTGTGAGTTTGTATAGTAATAAACGTATGACATTGGTATGCATATCGACGTCCGAAATCATATACTTTACTATAATATTATATTATTATTATTATATTATCACTGGGTTGTCTGTCGTCTCGCATCTTATCCGCGGGCAAATTTTCATCAGGCGTACACATCTTAACGCTAATATACAAAACGCGTAAAATATTATACTACGATTATATTTTAATTAGGGCAGTGAATTTAATGCACTAAAAAATCTAGAAAAACGCATTAAAAATTTCAAAAAAATGCAGCAAAATATGCACTTAAAATGCAAAAAATGCAATACGTATAAAATGCCAAAAATTATAGCATAAGATACATTTAAAATGGTTTTTGTTTTAATTTTTATATTTATATTGATATTATAGGATATTATAAATTTAGTACATTACGTACATTTTACAAGCATAAACTTGTGTTTATTAAATAAAAATAAAAATATTAAAAATGCTGATTTAATTTGAAATTTGTATAATGCTATATTCACCTAAAACGTTTTTTAAAAAATTTTTTCCGTGTATTTATTTTGTTAATAATTAAGTTTTTGAAGATGTTAATTGACGAAATTCAATTAAAAAAATACCAGAGAACGAACTAAAAAAGGAAAACATGACCTAAAAAATTAAAAACGTCAAAAAAAAAAAAATGCAAAATAAAAGTCTCTCATAAATAGATTCGTTGTAACAACATATAATTCGAATTATGTGTACTTACAAAGCTATAAGCTTCACGATCGCCAAAAAATAATGCGCTTTCCTATACACGCATTCACATGCAGCCCCAATTATAATATTATAATATGGATTGTGGGTACCTCGCCTAACATATCCGCTCAATGTGTACGCGTATTATATATAGTTCACCGTTAATGAGATTTCGTGTGCCGGTTAGGCATATTATACCTACATCTCGTAGGTATACCTACACTTCCAGCTATAGACGATCTCGCTGACAAATCATTTTGGTTGCCAAGGTCGCACGGGGCGATGCGCGTGTTCTCACTCTCTCTCGTCGTCGTCTCTGTAATCACTGTAATTTGACGCTCGTGTGCGCTTCTCCGTACCGTAGGTACGCATCGCACACACACACACACACACTTCAGCGCCACTGCAGCGGCGGCGCGGGCGCTGTACCGGCCGTGTTACAATTAACGCATTTGGTAAATAGGACTCGTGATGATTGCGGCCTTGTCGTTATACAAGACGAACAATAACTCATGTCCGACTCCGGCGGACCCCTTCCACGTCGGAGAGAGCCCCCGAGGCTTCTTCCTTGTTTTTATAGATTGCGAAAAACAACAATAACACGCAGACGCACGCACACGACAAACGCGCACTCACACACACATTATATTATATATATTTATACGTTCGTGTATGATATTATGCACTGGAAAATAATGTTATAATAGCGTTTGGCTAACGACCAAAACAGTATCATCATTCAAGGTGTCCCGAGACGATATTTTCGACGAATACTAAATCGTCCATGCCGCGCTCGCGTGCGTGATATAACAATAACGATGCACCTACGGACGAGCACAACAGAAGGGATGTACGCGTAACACGACGTGCAGTGCAACGCCGCCGATCGGAGACGGACGATAAAAAGAACGGCGGCGGCGCCCGACAAAAGGTTTGCGTGCATCGGCCCGACAAAAGGTTTGCATCGGCCCGACAAAAGATTTGCATCGGCCCGACGGCCGTCGACCGTCGGAGGGACGACGCCGTTGAATGACAAGTACGCGCGCGCGCGCGCTGTAATCAAAGATTGTGTCACGCGTTTTTTATTTTTGTCTTAGTTTTTTTTTTTCGCACGATTGGCCAACGCTGTAACGCAGTCGATTTCCTTTTTATTTATTTATTTAGTTTTTTTTTTTTTTATTTCGTTACGGATGTTCGCCGACAGCACTTATTGCGTTTGCAAGACATTATTAAAACGGTTTCCTAATTATTGATATTATTACGAGAGACCTTGAAAGACTGCGCGCGAGCCCTACTGAACTATATATATATATATATATATATGTATATAATATTATGCATTCGTCGTACTTTTCCAAGTATTGAGAGAACAAATAAGTATAGCATTTTTTCCGTACACACTAAATTACATGTATTTTTCGAAAATTATAGTACGATTTTGATTTCTTAATCGAATAGCGTAATTATTCATCAACCATCAGTGTTATTACGAGTATTATGATTTATGAGCTTTTCTTATATCCTTCCGTTGTATAATATTTCCTTATCTGCATAAGAAAAATATCGTAATCATTTCATATTGGTCGTCATAAATGCTTAAAACAATAATGATGGTGCTCTCTCTTAGACCACAATAAGTTTTCCGCGATTGGTTTCTCTAACTACTTATATTATCGGATATTTTGAACTTTTTGTAACAATTGAAAAATTAATCAAAAAAGTATTGTCAATAAAGATACTACTATGCTGTATTTAAACAAATTATTAATTATTTATAAACCATGTAGGTTATATACAGACCAATGGAACTACTCGTATATTTTTTACGGAATCGAATTATAGTCTTATATTATAAATATTTAATACTACTCTAATAAATTATAAAAGATAAAAAAATTACAATGAAATTATTCATAAGTGTGAAGTGGTAAAACTAAATGATTATTTTTTCAAATAGTTTTAAAGTTATATTAGAAAAATTAAAAATAGGTACTGCATATTATTTACTTACTGTTATAAAGTATACTTGAAGCTTAAATTATAAAAATGTGACGCAGACCATAAAAATAAAAAGTTATATCACTACAATTAATGTAATCATCAAAAATATGATTATGTTAAATGTTAAGAATTGGAACTAAATAAATTATGATACATTTTAAGTTTAGTTTAAGAATGTTATTGTCTATTATTGTTTATTATTTAAGGATTAGGCAATAAATTAAACTAATTCATGTAACTTAAAACAATTCTTTTTTCGTTAAAATATAGGACGTCTTGTAGAATGTTAGAATCTTTTAAATTTAATTTCAACTACAGATATCTATTTAATAACAATAGTATTTTTTATTTATACTATTATTATTTTGTTATCGTTATAAAATGTTATTTAAATTTAAAATTTTTCAATCTTATTGAAAAAACCTATTCGAATAAATATGAATTATATAGTTTATAAGAATCATAATAGCATTGACGCACTGCGCCCGGTTAGAAACACGTGTATCATAGTAATATTCGTATAATATATTATGTTCAAGAATCACAATGCGGTATTCAACTCATCAAGTACTCTAAAATCGAGAATGTTGGCAGTGTTTTAACCATTGTTTTTTAGAACATTAATCAGCACGAAAATCGAATATTATCGAACAAGTTTTAATTTAGATTATGTATTGAATGTCAAAAAGTGTTTTATGTCGTACATATTAATCACTTTCGAGCGTTAACTAAATAATTCATTTTCTAAGTAATACGATGCTCATCGAACATATTAAGAATGCTGATGTATCGTTTTATTTAGCGTGTATAATTGAGTATACAATACGATTGAATTGTTTTAATATCGGACGATATTTTGCGCGCGTGGATAGTGATTGAAATTATACGATAATAATAAAATTGTCAATTATCAATTATTTGCACTATTTTAAACATGTTTAAATCACATGTTTGCCAAATAAAATAATCTTATGCTGCAGATGAGTGGTGCATATTATGTCATAAGAATTAATCACGGATTTGAGCAAAATAACGATTGAACAGCACGCAAATATTTTGAAAACAGTAGATTTCTAGAGACGACTTACCTCGTTTTCGATATTTTCTCTTTTTCGATTTTAATTTTGGCGCCGTGCGTGTGATTTTTCTACGGACAGCGGTGTGGTCGTTTTACATACCAACCAGGGGCGGCGGCCAGAATATGTTCCAGTTTCACCGACAACAAAAATCAAATGACCAGTCGTGGAAGTGATTCGGAAACGTATTTGTTTTAATATTACGATTAGTTAGTAAGCGTATAGTGACGCTGAGATGAAATGAAACGGAAAAGCGCTGCAGTCCCGATAGATATGCGGCGGCGGGCGGAGAACGTTTGGCCGGACGTCCAAGTGGGAGCGAGTAATATTCGCGTCTGTCATTGACGACTGTTCAAGTCACCGGTGACGATATAATATTCAAATAAAATAATAATAATATAGCGGTTGATAGCCGTTGTGCCGGTAATGACTGTCAAGGGCACATGCAAAAAAAAAAAAAAATGTCTGATACCGATTTTTACCGACGATTGATAATGTATAGTCTAAACGTATACATCACGTATAATACCTATTTGTGCTACAATAATATACAGCCATACGTGTATAATATGCATAGAAAACAGAGCAAGATAAATGAAATCTCCTGCATTACTAACGAAGTTGATGCCAAACCATATATTATTATTATTATTATTATTATTATATTATCAGCGAACCGAATACGAACGATTCGTAATAAAATCACGCGCGCGATATCGTGCCTCGGTGTTGGAAGACGAATGAAAAATTGAGACATTATGCTATCGTCCATTTATGGTGTTGGCGAATGTGAGCAAATTTATAAGGTTCGTCAAATTCTGTAGTGTTCTTAACGAACAATATTTTGAAATAATAGCCGATTGCCGCAGCTGTGTTATAACTAGTAGGTATAGTAGGTATACACTATATTTATCGTTGATTGTCGAACGATTATATAGTTCGCACACGATAAGTTGTACTACTATTTACATTATAATAAATTACTGTACAGAGTCGGTGTATTGAATGACATGTTGTATCTATAGTTTATGTAAATTTCGACTTCAAATTCACACGGAGTCGAGTCTTGCGTAAATGGTAAAAAAAATATCATATAATTATGTAATATTTGACTATCAATTCTATACACATAGCACACGTTTCGATATATTTTAATTAATGATAACTGCGATTTTTTGTATTTATTTATTTTATAGTATGGAGTATTTTTCACTTAGAATTAACCTAAAAAAAAAAAAAAAAAAAATTAAAATCAGTATTTTGTGCAAGTAGGAAAACATATTATTTAAAAATTAGTACGCCTTCGTTTAATTATCAGAAAGAGAAATTATCTGATAACCTTGATAGTTTTCGTTGCATGCATAGGTGGAACGAAAAATGTAATTTGTTTAATTTAAGTAAATGAATTCTGTGGTAAAATTAATAGCTGTGAACCGATTACACTATTTGCTAATCCATTTGAACTATTGTCTATTGCTTAATACGATATTATTATATTGCCAAATCGGAAATCGGTTAATCAAAATATAAGTAACTCGTGTTTAAACACCCTTGTACTTTTATACAGTATACATACCAATAGTCCATATTTGTACATTTTAAATTTAGAACCAATCAATTGCAACTGGTGTACTAAGACTTATACAGTCGTCATTTGTAGTTGCAGCGATAAAAGTGTGTCTACGGTTATGGTTGGTGAAAAAGACTTCAAAACCGTTGTTTTTTTTATTTTTCGATGAAATTCAATATGATAATAATTCTTTGTGTGGTTGTATCGAAATAACTTAAATAACCTACGCGCGCATCATAATGATTGCCATTCCTGGAATAGGTTCACTTAAAAGCGGATGTTTGTACCGAATGGATAAAGGATTGCACGAGCATTATACTTAAACATGTATATTACACTTCTGGGTATGCGAGAAAAGCCGTGATATAAAACGGTGTTTTACCGCGATACGGAATGGACTATATGAGCATTGTATAAAATACCTAAGTACTTCTTTACGTTGGGATAATGTACGTTTGTAATAAACCTGTGCCGAGGTGAAAAAAAAAACGTTAATAAAATATGCGAACGATTGTATTGTGTAATCGTCGTCGTCTATATTTGTACAACTACTACAGCTACCACTAAACTACTGTCTACCACTACAACAACTATAACTACTAACTACTATCACTACTACTAATACACCTGCGACGTGAACACAATATCTTCGGTGAAAAACGTCAGCCGGACGACCCTTTTAAATAAAACACGATACCTCCAGCGCGGCCGATCGCGAATATTCCGGTTCGGCCCACGCGGTCGCTATATATATATATATATATATATATATTCTATATATTATGTGTGTGCGTATTCGTATTGTACTCGTGTTGGCGGCGAGATATTATAGTCGCGATGCGAAACAAACAAACAACAACAAAAAAAGTAATAAATAAATAATACGTATTGCGAGTATAAATAATAATAATATATGTATACGGGTATACGTACGTATAATATACGCTAGATCGCGAGGTATGGCGAGGAGGAGTGAGTGGAGAGCAAAAAGGATGGCGGCGAGGAAGCGGCGACTGCGGAGGAAGGAAGGAAGCTATACATATTATATATAGGTACGCGACGTATACCTCTTTACGGAAAAGGGTTTATGTGTGGCGGAGGTCCCGCGACGTGGCCAATAAACATGACACGGAGATATCATCTGGGAAACGGGAAGCAGCACGAGAGATATTTGGATTGCGTGCTCGAATAACCACACACACACACACACACACACACATACATACACAATACACACACACGCGCGCGCGTGCTGGAGTTGTTACCCTGCATTGTGAAAACAGTACAAATTCAATACGTCACAACTGCGTATTTCACTCATCCGCCGTCGTCGTTGCTCCGAGATCTGTTCATGCGTGCAAACGATATAATACAGGGTGTTCGGTATTTATATCCAACACCGGAACCTCGAAAATCTCTGAGAAATATTAAACAGAAATCGTAAAAAACTTTAACGAGATTAGATGAAGACTCTACCCCCCCCCCCCCGCTGTTGCAAAAAAGTATGTTTCAAACGATGCCTATACGCGACTATTCGTATATACGTAGGTATGCAATAATGTCTACTGTTTAGTAATAAATACTGAAATTACGGTTGATATACACTATTGGTACGCGTTTCGTGAGCGGTATATACCTACAATGGTGGACGGCGGTGCACGGGTTCGCAGTCGAAACGTTCAAAATTCGATTATCGAAGACGACGACGCGGTGAGATAATATCATACGAATAATTATTACGAACGCAAACCGGCGGATAATGTCGATAATATTCGTTTTTCACCAGCCCTCCTCTCACTATATTATACGTACATTACGGTTATTACATATAGCATTTGCTCTAAAACGGATAACGCAAAATGTCACAGCGATCGTAGAAAAAACCGAAGACAAGACAAAATTTTTAAAAAAAATGGCCTGTGGTCGGACTAAAGTCGAAAAAAATTATACACTTCGTTTTACGGCGTTACGATATTATAATAGTAATAGGCGTACGCGTAGTGCCGTATGTCTACCGGCCGTTTACCCTGTACACGCGACACGGTAGTGTACCTGCACAATATTATTATCGTGTACGCGCGTAGGCAACAACAACGACGACGACAATAATATAATATTATCTGTCATACGAACAAACGTTGCTGTCGTCGTCCGGACTCCGGATCATACCTTCTTTGCCGGGGAGCCGACGTTATCGTACAAACCCATCGTCAATTGTCGACGAAGACCACAACGCGTGATTCGACGGCCGACTTGCATATATTATTATGCACGCGTATATTATCTCGTACATGCGTGCATAAGACAAACGGTCGACGACGACGACATAAAAATCGTTACGACGCGAACTCGCGGACTTTACCGCGGTAGAATGTGGTATGACAATTTTTTTTTTTTTTTACAATCGTGTCCACCACGCCCGAGCGAAACGCGAATAAAACGAAATCCTTATACGTTTTAACGCATGACGTCCGGATTTCAATGCAAAGCGCGTTAGTTTTCGGGTTCTTTGGGACGATGCACCCCAAGTACCTGCCTGATTCGTTTAAGATAACAGACGAATCAAAGATGACACTTTAATTTTACATTTTTTTTAAATTTTCAAATCGTTATAGTGCCTGATATATACCAGGGATAGCGAACCTGTGTCACACGCGTGTCACAGAACAGTGATACGCCAATTAAAATATAATTCGTGATTTTTACTTCACTTTCCAAAAAAAAATTATAATCCCAGGATTGATTCGTTGGCTGGAAAAACGCAGCAACAGATTTCTCATTAAAAACTAGTTTTTGTAATTATCAAAACATATTTCTAAAAATGTTGTCATTTTAGTGTTTAAAATTATGTGTTTATATTAATGTAAAATAGTAAATACTATTAAGTTTAAATATAACAGCAAATAAAATCACGTTTATGTGTTTAATTAATTATTATTTAAGCAAAAAAAAAAAAAAATGGTTTAAAAATTTTTTCACACACGAGGCAAACTAAATCAAACCAAAAACTTTGATTTGACACGCTGCAGTTATCAAAAGGTTCGTCATCCACGACATATACGTACGTATCAATACATCGTTAGAGCTTTTAGTGTTAGTTCAAAATATTATATTAAGAAATACTGTTTTCGATAAATTCGCTTTAATAGTTTTTAGACATTTTTTATTCGCACAAATAAAATTAATATTAATTAGTTCAATCATATTAATTTATAATAAGTTTGCCACTTATTTATTGTGTGTTCGTATAGTATTGTTATTTTGTTTTTGTATTATTATTAGTTTAGTTAAAATGAAGTGTTAAAAATGTCAAAAGTAAAACCATAATTTTCCTATCGCTTGGGTGATTGCATGCCTATAAAAAAATGTTAAGACATTTTAAGGGATTTTTTTATAGTAAAAAATATTTTTTGGGACACTTTTGGTTATTTTTAGAACATTTTTTGATAGTTTTTAGGATATTTAAATCCGAGTCCTAATTATAAGATGATAATAATGCGTATAATAGTAAAAGGTATGATAATATAGTTACCTGGTATCTAAATGTTATCCAGTATTTCGGGACATCGACGTTGAGACAAAAAAACCTTCATATGTGTTATTACAATTTTTAGATTTTGGTAAAAAAAAGAAAAAAAAGCTATAATTTGTTAATGTAGTCCTACTACTTCATCATAAAATTAATGAAAATTTATAAACAAAACCTCTTATACGTATTATTCGCTATAAATTGTTTATGG